GTATTTGATCTGAGTCTGGCTACGAGCCTATACGCACTAACCATCTACGCGGGAGTAGTTATGGGTATCCCGACGTCGTGGTATCAGCCGAAGCACTTCAGACGTCAGCGACGGAGCGGCGCGCGCCGGATTGGAACGTAAGCCTGCTCTTGTATTAAGGGGGCTAGTTCTGCTTCCGGCCGCCCACGCAACGTGCAGGTGTGCTATGGGCGATGGGCCCAGACCCCTGTGCGCTTAGGTTTAGACCGGCGTGCTGGCCTCTCTGTTTTGCCTAGGTGGGGCTGCGACGTGTTGATCTTCCGAGGCCGGGCATGACCCAGGAAAGTGTGTCCGGCCAAATGGGATCAAGCGTGTTGGGCTATGTGGTGCACCCCTGCAGGGAAGTTAATCTATTCGAATAGCCGTGATCTTCGATAACAGGACGACTTGGAGTTGTACCTTGACCTTATGACAACTAGAACCGGATACTTAATAAAACACACCCTTCCAAGTGCCAGATACAACCGGTGGTCGCTCTACCTCAGGGATATGAGGAGGGGATCGCCGGGTAGGATTATGCTATGAGATGCTATTTGGAGATGCTACTTGGAGGACTTCAATCTACTCTCTTCTACTTGATGCAAGACGGTGGCTGCGAGAAGCGTAGTCTTCGACAGGATTAGTTATCCCCCTCTTATTCTGGCATTCTGCAGTTCAGTCCACTGATATGGCCTCCTTACACACATACCCATGCATATGTAGTGTAGTTCCTTGCTTGCGAGTACTTTGGATGAGTACTCACGGTTGCTTTCTCCCCCCTTTTTCCCCTTTCCTTTCTTTCTGGTTGTCGCAACCAGATGCTGGAGTCCAGGAGCCAGACGCCACCGTCGACGACGACCCCTACTACATCGGAGGTGCCTACTACTACGTGCAGGCTGACGACGACGACCAGGAGTAGTTAGGAGGATCCCAGGCAGGAGGCCTGCGCCTCTTTCGATCTGTATCCCAGTTTGTGCTAGCCTTCTTAAGGAAAACTTGTTTAACTTATGTCTGTACTCAGATATTGTTGCTTCCGCTGACCCGTCTATGATCGAGCACTTGTATTCGAGCCCTCGAGGCCCCTGGCTTGTATTATGATGCTTGTATGACTTATTTATGTTTTAGAGTTGTGTTGTGATATCTTCCCGTGAGTCCCTGATCTTGATCGTACACATTTGCGTGCATGATTAGTGTACGATTGAATCGGGGGCGTCACACATGTTTTCATACTTTGGGTGTGACTTGACAATACATTCAATGTATTGACCCTTTGTGGCTGCAACGTTTCATGTTGCAGATTTTTCAGATGAAGAGTAAGGTGCGATAGGTCGTTGTTCTGCACTCAGTTTTGCCGTGGAGTTGGATGGACTCATTTACCTTCGAAGCTTCCGCAGTTATTTTATTTAGATGGCCTTCAGCCATATTATTGCAATAAATACTCTTTTGAGGACCTCGATGTAATAAAGTGTGTGATTGAACTCTGTTATAATTCCTTGAGTACTGTGTGTGTCAGCATACCGATTTAGGGATGACATAGAAGCATAGAGACTCCGGTCCATTGGGATCGGGTCGCTACACCTGCGGCCAGGGTGAGGGGCGTGCCAGCCCCCTTGTGGGTTGGTGTGTCTCTCCCCTTGACCCATTAGGCCCATATACCTCTCGGGGGTGTCCGGAACCCCTTCCGGCGATCCGATGACTACCCGGTGCACTCTGAAACTCTTCCGGTGTCTGAATATCATTGTTCTATATATCAATCTTTACCTCTGGACCATTCCGGATCTCCTCGTCATGTCCGTGATCTCATCCGGGACTCCGAACAACATTCGGTCACCAAATCATATAACTCACATAGCACTATATCGTCAAGGAACGTTAAGCGTGCGGACCCTATGGGTTCGAGAACTATGTAGACATGACCGAGACACCTCTCTGGTCAATAACCAATAGCGGAACCTGGATGCCCATATTGGCTCCTACATATTCTACAAAGATCTTTATCGGTCGAACCTTATGACAACATACGTAATTCCCTTTGTCCATCAAAATGTTACTTGCCCGAGATTCAATCGTTGGTATATTTATACCTAGTTCAATCTCATTACTGGCAAGTCTCTTTACTCGTTCCATAATACATCATCTCATAACTAACTCATTAGTCATTTGCTTGCAAGGCTTATTATGATGTGTATTACGGAGAGGGCCCAGAGATACCTCTCCGATACTCGGAGTGACAAATCCAATCTCGATCCATATCAACTCAACAAACACCTTTGGAGATACCTTAGAGCATCTTTATGATCACCCAGTTACGTTGTGATGTTTGATAGCACACAAGGTATTCCTCCGGTATCTTGGAGTTGCATGATCTCATGGTCGAAGGAACATGTATTTGACACTCAAGAAAGCGGTAGCAATAAACTGAACGATTGTATGCTAAGCTAACAGATGGGTCTTGTCCATCACATCATTCTCCTAATGATGTGATCCCGTTATCAAATGACAACACATGTCTATGGTTAAGAAACCTTAACCATCTTTGATCAACGAGCTACTCTAGTAGAGGCTTACTACGGACACGGTATTTGTTTATGTATTCACACATGTATTTAAGTTTCTGATCAATACAATTCTAGCATAAATAATAGGGTGTTTATCATTTATGCCACTAATTGTGTCCCATTACTCAGTTTTGCCATTAGAAGTTACAACTGCCCAAAAATGCCATCGTTTCATGAGATGCTTCCTAAAAAATGTCATGCTCAAAAATGCCACTAGACACCATTACTGTCAGCTCAAAGCCCGTTTACCATGTTACATGACCAAAATACCCATGGACAAACATGTGTGCTCTTCCTCTATCTCACTATGATAAAGTGTGGGTCCCACTCGAGCCCCAACAACGTTCTTATTTTCCTCTAAAATAATTCGCTTCTTACTCCTGAGAAGTAGGGCCCACATTTATCATTGTGTGATAGAGAGAATTGACATGTGGGTCTAGGGTTATTCTGGTCATATAACATGGCCAACAGGTTTGACCTAACAATAACAATGTTGAATGACATTTTTGAGCAAACATCTAATGGGATGATGGCATTTTTTAGGTGTCTAATGGCATTTTTGAGGAAGCATCTCATGAAACGATGGCATTTTTGAGCAGTTGTAACTTCTAATGGCAAAAGTGAGTAGTGGGACACGACTAGTGACATAAAGGATAAAAACCCTAAATAATAAACCTTTATCGTGAATAAGAAATATAAAATAACAACTTTATTATTACCTCTAGGGTATATTTCCTTCACTCCGATCCTCCTCGAGTCCGTCCGTCTGGACATAATCGATGAAACTCCGGCGTACATTCCTGCCACCTCCTTAGGACGGTGAGGTTAGGGTTTCTTGTCATGTGGCGAGATTTGACATCAGGTGTTTCAGATCTATGCAATGGTTCAACGTCGACGACTGCGACTCCAGAGAACTGATCCTTTGGGGCACGTGCATGAAGACTTCTAGTCTATCATCGGCAAGGTCAAGCCGGCTCCGGTAGGGGAGCAGCGACATCGGCGTGTCGGCGGCTCATTCTGGCAGCAGTAGTGGTCGTCTGGTGGTGTCAGAAGCTCGACGTAATTTTTATTATGTTTGAGTTGCTTTTGTATGTCTGATAAACTTTTATGATAGACCTGATCCTTTTTGCAAAAAAAAAGCTTTAATATTTTTAATATTTTTGTCTTACTAATATATATACATATAATAAATTTAAAAATAAAAAAGTAATTGTGTATCATAAAAAAATTGCACATATAAAACATCAATTTTCATACACTTCCTTGAAAAGGTTCATCTATTTTTAGAAGTGTTCATGAATTTTATGACAATGTTCATGCATTTTTAAAAAGTGTTGGCGTATTTAAAAAAGAAGCTCATTCATGTGTCTTTGTCCAGAGGAAGGAGGATTTTCACATGAAAACAAAAGGCCAGCTATATGCTTTGCGGTAGTTACGGTCAATTTCAGTTGGTTTCGTATCTGGCAGTCTTCATGTGATGGCATCTACTTCAATTTCAGTTGGTTTCCTATCAGCTCGAGCTCAAATGCTCCTGGTGTACCATCTACTCTCCATGTTAGTTAGACAGAACAGATGAAATCACCGTCAGAAAGTAGCATGTACATCAATGGAAGAGTGGCATACAGCAACCAAATCAGTACAAAAGCACATATACACAAGATCGATACCTGTAATGCAAGCCTGAAGCCGCAATTGATTTGAGATTCACATTAGCAGGAACTGGAAAAGCTTATACTTGCAGCAGTCCAAAACTGAACACCATAAGAACGCGCAGATCATCTGACAATGTTTTAGCTGTACAAAACAGTTCAGGGTTCAATTGCACAACAAAAGGTGGTTTCACTTCCACCACACTGAAATTTCTACATCAAGCTTATGTGCCAGCACAGGAACTGCATTCTATCTATGTGGTGCTGCTTCTGCATATTCAGTTGAAGGTCCATGAGGCAGTTCGACCTTTGTAACACCGAAACTTTCCCACCACACGCACACATACACACAAGAGCATACATGTAGCAGATCTTAAGGGTAAACATCACATATGTGAGGCAATCTACATTTTAGAGTAGCAGTGCATGCCAATTCTACAATAGAGGATCTAATTAATAATAAGATGAAAGGTGATGACGGTTAATATAGTTGCACAATCAGTATCAACCAATGAGCCACTACAAACCTCTACCTAATACACTAAAACACTAAACTCACACTATGTCTAGTTAAAGGTGGAAGATATGAAAGCAAAAGCAGCACACGAAGCCTGCAGATAAATGAGGTTCAGCGCAGGGACGAATTCCCTCAGCATCTGCTTCTTCTTCAATGGTAGTGGCTGCTGCTGCCAATTTTTCTCACTCCATGAAAGCTTGGCCCTCTCCATGAGCAAACTCGCCCCCTCTATGCGTGAAACCTGGCTTCGTCCCAGGTTCACCGCTTCCTCTTATGTGATTGCCACTGTTTCAGGATGAACTCGATGCCTTCTTCCAGTGTTGCTTTCCGGCCATCCTTATAGTTCCACAGCTCTGGTACAACATAACGGCCACTGGGGTTGTACTCATTGATTTCAAGCAGTGCATTCGTTACCAAAGTGCATATTTCTTCACCATGTTCCTCCTTCAACTTCTGCAGCTTGTCATCATCCTCTAAGAGAATTTCCTACACCAAATAGTGAGATCATGTATGTGCTGTCAGATGGAATCACGGAAATTTGTGATGCTTGTAAAAAGATAGGAATGCTCGCGCCACCATTCAGCTGCAAGAAAGCTACCTGAGCTTGAAAACTAGGAATAATACTACATGTAAAAGTAAAAGAAATAGCAGGGACACTCCATACCATCTCTTTACCATCAACCATGACGATCTTAAAAGGGTGCCACTTTGAGTTTGTAATTTCAGCTTGCCACTTTGAACAAAGAAAAACAGAATCAACTTGGGCATCTTCTTGTGATACATCTTGTTTGCAAGCATTCGCAAATGCTTTCATGTCAAGCTCGCCCATTCTCTTGACCCCTATATTTGCCCGTCCATTTGTAAACTTCTGCAGCCCCTACAAACACGAAGATTAGATCACAAAGGATAATAGTGACATGCCAGAAAGTGTCGGAACAGATAAATTACAGTGGCAATTAGTGGTGACATAGTCATATAATGAAATGCACAAAAGCCCCAAATTTATATATGCCGGACATTGTCGGAACCAACCCCTCACTTACATCTTTTAGCCTTTTCCGGGCAACTTGCAACTCATTGTTGCTGCCTATTTCCTTGGTTAGTAGAACACGATTGAGCGACTCCATTGCTTCCAGTTCATTCTGTAACTGTGCTACTAGCTCCCTTAGACGCTCCAACTCATCATTTCCTTTTCTTTGCTGGGTTACCAACGCCTGGTTAAAAGACTCAACTGTGTGCATCTTACGATGTAACTTTTTCTTGTATTGCGCAAGGTGCATCCTCTCACACTCATTTTGCGCATGTAGAGCTTTAAGCTCCTTGGATCTCGTTTCAAGCCTCCTGGATTTCGCTTCTAGCTCCATAGATCTTGCCTCAGACTGCAAGTGTCTGGCATCAAGTTGCTTGGATCTCACGTCAAACTCTGCTGATCTTGCTTTAATCTTCTTGCATCTCACGTCAATCATCTTGGATTTTACATCCAACATCTTTGATTTCGCTTCCAGATCCATAGACCATGACTGAGGCTGCTTGTCCCTGGTGTCAAGTTGTTTGGATCTTGCTTCGGGCTGCATGGATTTTGCATCAAGATCCGTTTTCATCTTGGGATCCAGCTCTGAGTGTTGCAACTCATCGTTCCTTTTTCTTTTTTGGGCAACTACAGCCTCGTTGAGCGACTTGGCTGAATACAAGTTTCCATTGTCTTGCTCAAGGTTTTTTCTGTCAAGCTCTTTTAGTGGTGCAAGCTCTGTTTGCATGGGTCTCACATCAAACTCCGCAGGTCCTGCTTCGGGCTGCATGGATTTTGCATCAAGATCCTTATTCATCTTGGGATCCAGCTCTGCGTGCTGCAACTCATCGTTTCCTTTTCTTTTTTGGGTAACTACAGCCTTGTTGAGCGACTCGTTGAATCCAGGTTTTCATTGTCTTGCTCAAGGTTCCTTCTATCGAGCTCTTTCAGGGTAGCTAGCGGTGCAAGCTCTGTCTGCATGGGTCTCGCATCAAACTCCGCAGATCTTGCTTCGGGCTGCATTGTTTTTGCATCGAGATCCTTTTTCATCTCCGGATCCAGCTCTGGGTGCTGCAACTCATCGTTCTTTTTCCTTTTGGGGGTAACTACAGCATCGTTGAGTGACTTGGTCGAATGCAACTTTTCTTTGTCTTGCTCAAGGTTCTTTCTATCAAGCTTGTTTAGGGTAGCTAGCGCTGCAGTCTGTGTCTGCATAGATCTCGCACCAAAAAGTTTTTGCATCTTGCACTTGGAATCCAGCTCACTGGTTGTTAACCGCTTGTTTCCCCCGCTGATTGCGGAGGGCTTCTTGTGTTGTGCACCCAATGACGACTTGGGCGGCGGCCGGAAAAGAGTCGGCCACTTCACCAAGACGAGCTTCTGCAGGTAGGCGCCGTAGTAGCATGCCGAGCGGGACCTCGTCCCTTTCCTAAGCTCGAACATCTCTTCCTCCACGAGGCTCCAGATCAGCGCGGTCCAGTCAAAAGTATGCGCCTTCCCATCCATCACCACCATCTGTGCCCTCGTGCGGGCCCTGCTATTCCAGCCGCTGCCTGCCTCTAACGGCGTCAGGATGTAGGCCTTGATGAACTCCGTCGCGGCGAAGGCGACGGCGGCCGAGTCCACTTCGGAGGACGCGGTCCTCGCAGCCGCAGCCCCAGGGGGCGGGAGGCAGAGCGCCTTGGCGAAGGTACGGCAGCAGACATCGATGCGGCCGTTCTGCGTGGAGCTATGCCCGTGTTCCGCGCTGTAGTTAGCGATAAGATCTGCGACGTGTTGGCGGCACAACGCGCCGGAGAAGCAGAGGTCGAGGCGGACGAAGTCGAGGAGGCCCAGCGCGCGTAGGCCGGCGTCGCAGGCGGTGGAGGGGGGCGCGGGTGGGTCGAGGAGGCGGATTTTGGCGCGGAGTTGCGGTTGGCACCG